CACAAGAAGAGGCAGAAGAGCCCCTTTTTCTACCATCAGCTGGGCCCGTTCAACCTCCATAACAATCAGCGTCATTAAGATCGCCAGTTTTCTACCCCGTACGTCCCCAATTAGACCTATGCCAAATGCTCCAAAAAACACAGCACACCACCATGCAGTTTGATGTGCAAGCAAATTAAATAAATGCATCAACGAGCCCCACAGCATCATCCACAGCAACACTGGGATCATCGTGCTTATCATACATATTTGCTCCCCCACAGTATCTTTGCTATATGCAACGCCAAACAAGGCCAAAAGAGTGTGCATCGGAAAAATATCTGGATATCTATCTCCAATATACATCAACGGAAGAGCCGAGAAGAGTGAGGTACGAAAAGCCACATACGCAGGGTGGCGAAACTTTTGCGAGAGAAGGGTACACCAATAAGATTCAAAGCTCACCGAGTCATCATGTATATTTCCCCATATATTGAGTTTGGGTGGCTTTATTTCCTCCGCGTCTTTTTCCATCAGTTGCTTCATGAGGTTCTCCGCCCACAAGCGGTTCTCTGATATGTGAATCCACTCTATGGATTCCATGGCGTATCTCCCCCCCCCCTCCCTTCCCTCCCCACCCCTTTTTTTTTTATTTATTATTTCCGTGTCGTCGTCCCTACACAATTAGAACTCCTTCTGTGCCCTGACAACTTCCCCCTTGGGTGGTGGATTCCAAATGCTACACGCCACGCCTTTTCCTTTATTTTTTACTTGTGAGATGTGGGGAACTTCCCCTCCCTATTCCGGCCAACAACAACAACAACAACAACAACAAAAACAAAAGAAAACAACGCACAATAAGCAATATTATATACACGGAACAAAAAAAAAAAAAAAAGAAAGCGACATCTTTGGAGAAATATCCCCAAACAGTGCGTGACTGCTTTCCCCCATCCTCACGGCAGGAGAAAAAACTTTATATCGGACAGGCTAGACACGCATAATTGTTTATGACATGCACATATGTATATATATATATATATATATATATATATATTCTGAGAGAAATGCCAAATCATCATGGAACATACGCATACATACAAATAATGAGCAAAAGAAGAGTTGTAACTGGAAAGAGTTATGGAGTATGTTTTCTGTGTATGAGCTTTAAAAAAAAAAAAAAAAAGAATTGTTTATTTATTTATTTATTTATTTTTGGCATTATTGCCTTCACAATAATTCCCTTTACTTCTACCGTCAGTTGGTTATGCCATCACATTTTTGTTAAACCTTGCCGTTATTTCCCACCACGCACGTTGCTCCAACAGCGTGACTTGCTTCCGCTCCACTAATTCCACACTCATGCAAATATGAAGGGCAATTTCATTGTCATTACTATTTCGTGTCCGCCCTGTCGTGTGCAGTGGCGGAGGTGACTGGGAGACATCGGCCACCAGATGCCCCATGGCACAATTCAAGAGAGAGAATATATTCCCAACAGTGTGCTCCTCTGAACCACTCAACGCCGTTCTGCTCTCCATGTCACAAGGACTGACATCATGGGAAGACGCCATGCAAATTTCTTGCGCTTTTGCAGGCGAACTCGCAGGTGGGGTGCATACCGCTTGTGATCTCGCACTTCGACTGCGCGCCGTTTCCACTGCCCACGTTCGATGCACACCAATCGGCGTTTGACTCTTGCTGGGCCGGCGTTCACTGGCAACAATTTCCCGCTCGGCAACAAGCAACGCAGAGGCTGAACGAGGGGCGATGGGCGTGGCGGATGGGCATCCATTCAGATCGGCAGCCAACTCATAGATAAGACTTTCCTTGGCGGCAATAAGACGGCGGCTATTGGCATGGTTCAGTACCATTTGCCATCGCGATAATAGAAGCTTCCACGAGAGATGAGCCTCTCCTTCAATATAATCTCGTTGCGACTTCTCAGCATCACACAATAAGGCATGCGCGTAGGATGCCCAGCCCAAATTTTCTACGGTGGGCCCGTTGACAGACAACGGCTTTCCCTTCACATCACAAGAGAGTCTCGTCAACTCTTTCTTTCCATTTTCACAGGAATACATCGCGGCACCATGCAGTTGCGCTCGGCATGCCTCTTCATATTCTTTCGCCCCTCTTTTCACAGTACTGATGGCGGATGCCAGAATATCCTCCTGGGCATCTAGTTGCTGCTGCATCCACCGCATAGCCTCCCAGAGATGTTTGTCCCAAAGCACTGAGGGCTCCACGATACGTGCCCGTGTTTCTGCATCCACCCCCGCAGCCAATTCCTCACGTGCGGTAACGAGAATTGTGACGCGTCCCAGTCGTTCCTCCATAAGGATGGTGTGCCGCCGAACCGCTTCCTCGGCGTCACATCGGAGCGACCACAAACGCCTCTTATCAAAGTGGGCCTGTAATGCTATTTGTCTGGCTTTCCACCTATCAAACCCCAAGTTACATACAATGTTGTCTTCCGGAGATTTATGTACAACGGGGATAAGTGAGGATTTCCCTACCGCCGGTTTTATTGCTATTGCGGTTGCTGATGGTAATGATAATGCGTTAATTTCCTCACATACACCGTGTGGGGCCAAATAAGACGGTGACGAAAGTCTCGTATCGCCTGGACACGCACGGCTGCGACTTCGACTCCAAATGCCACCCTCCGGGGTCTCGTGGTATTTCTGGGGAGACTCGTGTAGATGCAACTCCTGCGACTCCTGCCGATTGGAGGAAACGGCATCATAAGCCAAAGAAAACGCATTCGACACCATTTTGTCACCTTCCTCATTTGAGGAGATATATCCACGTTGGGTGTGATTCCCCATCGCTGCTGGGGGGAACAGCTGCGACGTCACCACCGTCTTTCCCTCACACCACGCAATGGCCACATCCACCTCGTTCAGCCGCCGCAGGGCGTGCACCATAGGAGCGTCATCTCGACCGTTTCTGCTACTGCGGTGGTAGTTTTCGTGTCTCGTGCCTGCATCCACCTGCGGAGCCGCCATGGCCGCGTCCACGGCAAAGCGTCGCTGCTCCTCTAGCCGCATCAATGTCCCGCTGCTTGCCAGAGCCTCGTAGGCAACGATGATTCCATCCACAAGAAATGCCTGATCCTGAGCAAGCGAGTAGGCGACGCTGTCTTCAAGCGCCATCAGACGCCGTACGCAAGATAAACGTTGCGCCAAAGTCAAAGATGCGGCGGTCGTGCCCTCTCCCGTCGTCAACATCGTCAATGAAAAAAGAGTATTAATAACAATAATAATAATAATGAAACAACACAGGACCGACGGGGTCCACCTGCCCCACAAAAAACAACAAAAACAACAGATATGTAATAAATAAATAAAAAAAAAGGGGTAGAAGAGGAAAAAAAAAAAAAAAGTTGCACCAAAAAGAAAAAAGAAAAAAAAAAAAGAAGGAAGAGAATAATCTTCTGTGCCGCTGGCCGAATCCTGAATTTTTTTATAGAAACCAAAAAGGAAGATAGGAAGGAAAAAAAGGAAGGTAAAGGTAGAAGCAGTTAAATGCCCGAACGTTTCCTTCGGATTATATATTCTTTTGACCGTTCAAGTTGCCTTTTATACTCGGGTGGGAGATGAAATATATTTATTTACTTCCTTACGAGGTGGCAGACTTTTGGGGCCCTCCAGCCACACACGACCCCGCCGTAAAGGGTGGAAATCAAAAAAGGGGGGGTTGGGTGGGTGGGAAGGTGCAGAACAAAAATAAATAAATTATCCAGCCGCTATCGGTTCCCTGCTGCTCTCCCCAATAAAGTCGTTTATTTCCCAAGGATCCATAAGATAGAAAAAAGCATCATAAAGAAGAGCATTAGTGTTATCAGCATATATGTGCATGTACATTACTTCAGTTAGCCAGCTCTCCCGCGATCATTCTCTTCACACGCTCCTAAATAAAAAAAAAATATATTTTTTTTTGTGTCTATTCGTCCGGCTATTTCTCTGTCTGTGATAAACACGAGGCGGGCCTCCTCCCCTCCCCGTGAAAAAGAACAGAAAAAAAAAGTAAGAAAAAAAAAAAAAGGATGACATTATAGTTAGAGAGAGTGTCAAAGAGAAAGAGGGGGAGGGAGAGAGAAAAAAAAAAACAATTGATGGCAGACAAAAAACAACAGGCAATGGGGCATCACTCGCCACCATTTCATGCAAACTCTCATTTCTCCACCCGCCTCCTGCGACAAAAAATTGCCACACATCCAATGGTTCCTCCGCACACACACACACACATGCAGACAGTCAAACAAACAAAATAAATACACGGGTTTTTATTACACGCGCACGCAGACAAACTCACGTACAGAACACCAACAACAACAAAAAAGCAAATAAATGTGCGAAAATGACAAAAAAACGGGAAAAAAAAAATATTTTTATTTACATGGACACATGCAGGCAAAACAGGAACAAATAAAAGAGCAACAAAAACCAATTGAGGAAAAAAAAAAAAAAAGAAGGGGGGAGCTCTTATTTCCTCTTGTCCATGTGTTCCCTCTTTTATCGTTTACCCCTTTCTGTTTCATTTGCGGTGGTGAAGGATGTCATCCGCATCGTCGCTGTCACCTCCTCCCAAGTTTGTCAGCACGCAACCGCATGGTAAATGTTACAAAGGCGTACGTAAATACAGATCTCCATTGCACGTAAGCATGGACCAAAAAAAATAAAAATAAAAAAAAATAAGGGACCAACCAACAATCAGGCAAGACAAGGAGCGATCACAGGAGGAAGAGAAGGGTTAGTGCATGGATGAGCGTAGGTGTCATGACATTCCCTTCCCATCCTCAGTGGCCCACGCAGAAACCAACAACAAGAAGAAAAAAAATATAAATACATGCATATAAGTACATATATAATATATATTAGAGCACAGACACACACACACACAAATAAATAAATAAATAAATAAATAAGACAAAAAGGCAAGATAAACAAGAAAAGAAAAATAGAGAGATTATGTAAGAATTGACTGTACAAAAAATACACACGACAAATCTCTCTCTATTCTTCTAAATTCTCACGAATGTACGCCTTAAGACATGCGTTTACCGCTCGCTCAACATCCTTTACATTCAGCTCCATCGCAGTTACCATCTGTTGCTGCGTGTACCCGACCGCACCTTCATAGACGCCAGATGGAAATGACTCCTTTTCTCCTTTGGAGAGAAACAACTTCTGCGGTAATGGCCGGCCGGGGTGGTCCGCAACAATTTGCCCCACGTCTGCCGCATCACTGATGGATACAACGACGGTAGATTTGGATTCCATAAACTCTATTTTATTCTCACATAGAAAGCTGGGAAATACTTTTTCAATTGGCTCAGAGCTCAGCTGCTCAAGCATCTCAGGAGGTGGAACACCAGAAAACCACGGCAAGGCATAACGACCATGACGTAATATGCCTTCCCCTAGATCTAGCCTAATCATCGACCATCCCACGGAGGATATTTTTACTTCCTTTTCTCCATGTTCCTTGATGGATCTGAGATTTGACAGCTTGAATAGATAGAGGATGGCAGTAAAATATGAATCGTACTTCATCCCAGTAAGCATGCGCAGTGGTTCCTTAAACAGCGGCGCACTGACATCGGAAGACCAGTCTCGATGAAGCGTTAGCACAATCTCATCCGGGCCACCCTCTCCCAAATCGGAGGCAACAGCATAAAGAGCGTGACTTGTACCCATGTTATGCAAACTTTCAATGTCAAAATAAAATCCTCGTTTTGCATTATGCGGCAGAATATAATTAATCCTGTTTCCCATAGGACTAGCCATACCCATAAAGGCTTTTAATATCGTTTCCCAGTCATCACTGAACGGGATGTTTTTCGGATCCATTCCCTGCCAAATAACATAGAGGTCCTTCTCAGAAGCCACTGGCTTTGGCTCATCGGGAAAATCAAAGTACAAGGAGTCTGGATCGCTGTCTAAAGACCACATAATGTAGCCACATGGGCAACAATTAAAATATCTCCCTGGTGGTTCAAATAAGGAGTTATATAAAGCCTGCGAATTTAATGCATCTTCTTTTTGGTCTTGTGAATATTGCTCCATAGCATTTCTTTCTGCCTCAAGTGAAATTACAGAATGAATATCACGGGCCTCGGGCCGCCGCGGGTCCCCTAATCGTATTCGAGAGAGAAAGTTACCCTTCCTGGAGCCCAAGTGAATAGGAAAGGAAGCATGACCAAACACAATGGGTCCACTTTTTGTGGATGTGACGTATTCAATAATGACAAGGGCATGCGTTTTCTCTGCTACAAAAATCCCCAACATGCTGACGTTAAAAGTAGGAAACAAAACGCCTTCACCAACCGTTGAATACTGAATCTCATCAGGAGGTCTTAGTAACACGGCGGGGTTGTCGGCTTTGTTCACCACCTCCACTGTCTCCAGGTCAATGTTTTCAATTAAGTACACAAGTACACGAGATCGCACCGCGTTTAGTGGGATACCAGTCACAAAACTGATGTTGAGGTTCACCTCGTTATTGTATTTTCCATGACCCGCGAATCCTTCAAGATGAGGTAAAACGCCGTCGGGACGGATCTGAAGCAAAACGCTCGCCTCTGTCTTTAATTCCTGCGACAGATTGGCAAGGCGTGAACGCGAAAGTGAGAAGGTTTTAAAATTCCTGGGAAGAATTAGGGTACCGTTTGAATCAAACTGGAGATTCCAAAGGAGGCTCTTGACAAGTTTCATATCTTTAGGAACATCTCCGTCATCTTCCAAAACGGCACGTGGCATGTCTTCATGCCGCGATTCGTCCGTCGCTTTATCCACAGGCAATTCTCCATTTGGTTTCGGTTTGGACGTCAATATCAATCTTTTCCCATCCTCAACGAGAATCAAACGCGGCTGTTCTGTACTGCTCATTTGCTTTGCCGTTCTGACAAATACATCCTGTGAGTGGTCGGCCTGAATTGCCCCGCACAACATCGTCTCTGGGAGGCAACTGCTCGTTGTCTCCAAGCACGTTGACACATCCACCGGTGACCGCCGCAGAGCAGTGATCCACATGCCTTCTTTATGCGCACGAAGGGAGGCCCAGAAAAGAGTCGTCTCACGGCATGTAAAGGTGATGATTAACACATGCAATTCATGCGAATGCCGAAGAGTAAACTCCAACGGGTCCTTCAGTGACAAAAGGATACGGTCGGAGTTTGCCTTTTCAATGGTCGCACTAGCGTAATACCTCTTCCTTACAGCTTCCAGCAAATGATTTTCCAACCCACTGAGAAGGCGGTACTCGTCCAAACCAATAGAGATATCTTCTAATGGTATTTGGATATCAAGACCATCAATGTAATCGAGCCTCAATGCATATGTGGCCGGCCCCAGCAAAGAGCATGATGTTGTAGACGAATCAAAATCCACATCTTTTTCCTCGTTTAAAACGGAATCCAATATCAACCGTGTTTGAGGAATTTGTCTTTGTTTTTGTTCCTGTTGTTGTTGTTTTTCTTGGTTTTGCTTTTCTTGTTCTTGTTCTTGTTGACGAAAACGCGACAACTCAGCTTGCAGACGCTCAACCTCCGTGCTTGGATGCCTCAGGTTCATAAGTATTTGCAACAATTGTTCATTCATGTACATATCTTTTGCAGGTATGATGTAACCAGCATTATTGCCGGCAATCATCGGTGGGGCTAATCGGCGTGTTAACGCCGTGCTGTCTATTGAACCTCTTTGCAACCCTCCCCCCAGTCCACCAGCGTAAAGTAGCTGAGAATCGCTCTGAAGTAAATTTGGGGCCATAGGGTACATACCAATGGGAAGATTTGGCATGGCGCCTAAGGCGTACTGTGGCTGCATCCCACCGCCAAGCTGCATGTCAACAGAATGAGACTGCTGGTGTAACATCAGCTGCTGGGGATTCCCAAACAAGGCACCACAGACGGTACAGTAAAACATCTTTCTTTTCTTTCCTAAGCGTAACACAAACACACACACACAAAAAAAAAAAAAAAAGCAGTACAGACACGAGAAACGACATGCAATATATATACATATACATATATATACATTAGAGAAAGAGGAAAGGACTGAAGTAGACAAGAGGTTATCAATGGAAGTAAACACGTCGCAACAGCAAACAAACAAACAAAAGGAAAAATGGAAGGATAAGTCGCTACAGAAGAGAAAATCTACAGAACTCCAGACATATATACATACATATGTATTCATATGTATATATTCACCTGGATGCGGCCATGTTCCTATAGAAAAAGGGGGATGGGTTGGTGTGGGTGGTTGCACAATCGAATAGGAGATGACGGTTTGAATTCCATTGCTCCCTTCCTTTCCTCAATATTCCCCATGGAGGCAAAAGGTTTATCGTCAAACACTCAGCATTACAGATACAATAATCATAATCATAATAGTAATAGTAATAAGTATGGATTCAGCAAAAAGACATGTTACGATAACTAGGCTCGTTGTAAACGTACAACGTGGCAGTCTTTAACAGGGCCATTTCCTCCCCCATCCGTCCGGCACGAACCGCCAGGTTCCCCTCGCAGGTGGAAGAGCAGCAGTAGGGGTATACATGTATATGTATATATATATACATAGATTATACCCGGTCCTTTCAGTTCGCAGTGCGGCCGTGCAGAGCCGGCACGAGATCGAGCTCCACCTGAAAGCGATTCCACAGCCGGACCTTCAGCGCATCACGGCGCTTACGCCAAACCCGTGAAACGCAACATGCCGTTTTCGGTGGCATCTCCACACGCGCCGCCAAAACCTCCGCGGTGATTTGGCGCACTTCAGCATTCTCACCCATCGTCGGCGGGTTGGAAGTGTCATGCAAAAGATGGCGGGGATCAATGCAGATGGTACATGTCCAGTCAACCTCAAACCGAGGCTTTTTCCGTAATTCCTTCGGCTCTACGTAGTGGCGTAACGTCAGTTTGTGCTGCACAATAATCAACTCAATGTCCCCTTCTTCCATACCCTCTCGATTTCTATCCTTTTCAGAGTACACATGTGCAGTCCAAACGATATCGTGCATGTGTCGGCACCATGGGAATCGAAACACACCAGTAATCCATTGAATGGAAAAAAACACCGCCGACTGCACCATGTACTGCATCAGACGGAGTGCCTTGCTTTGGACTATGTACTGAGGCGAAGCAGACAACAACACCGCATCCGCTTTGCCGTATTCCGTTGACCCATTCGGTACGGTGGTGTTCGTTTCGGCTGTACTCATTTCCCTTTTCGGTGCCGTCGGTGAAGTTCCCGGTGCGTCATTCTCACATTGCTCGCTCCCCTCTGTTTCCTTCTTCAACTGCAGCATGCCACTCATCAGCAGTACGGCAAGAAGTAACGAAGAGGCATCCGCCACGCCTAATCTTTCTTCCTCCGTTTGCCACGCGGAAAGCATCGCCATCGTGTCTTCGCCGCACAATTCCAACAGAAGTTCTATCGATGTGCGAACCCGATCACTCCTCAGCGCAAGACAATGATGCGCGGCATCCTCCGAGCACCCCGTCATCTCCACATGTGTCTTCTGCTGCTGTTCCTTCTCCACCCGCTGCACTTCTCGTTGCGGTTCATAATAATTGTTGCGTGTGGCGGTGCGGACGTACACGGGAATTCGCGGGAAGTCGCGTGTGAAAGAAGTGGAATCTTTTCCAACTTCCATGAGAAACCGCTGTTGCCACATGTCCTCTTCTTCATTGTCATCTTGACTCGCCTTTGGCGGCGTATCCCGCCGACGATTGCCAAAAGAAACGCATGTCACTGCCGATCCCATTTTTTTTATTATTGCAGAAGACTCCTCTTCTTCTTCTTGTTGTTGTTCTGTTTATTATTTGTTCTGTTTTTTGTTCTTTTTCTCCCCTCCTCGTGTTCTCTTCTTCACTTCCTCTCCTCCCCCGTTCCGTGTGGCCACCAGAGAAATAAAGGAAGACAAAGAGGAAAAGTAAATAAATAAATAAGTGCAGCAGTCATGAAGACACACATGCACACATCCATATGTGCATACACACACACACAGAGAGAGAGAGAGAGAAAGGGACATTTGCAATGAACATAACAACTGTCCGTAAATGTGTGCGTGGACATGTATTTCCTCTCGCCCACCTTCAGAATGGATGCCAATGGCAAACTTCTCCCTTTCATGTACATTCACATATTCACTTCCTCTTCCTTTTGTTTCCCCCCCCCCCCCCCCCTGCATGCCAGCAAGATGGTCCGCGCCTACACGTAACTCTCATCATTGTTCCTCCCTGGCAAAAACCAACTAACCAACCAAAACACACACACACACACACACACACACAGAGAGAGAGAGAGAGAGAGAGGCAGGCAGAGAGACAGAAAGAAATTAACACAGAAATGAACATCCAACCATACAACGCATATAATATAATATAATATAATATGTATTCCTATTCCTTGTCTGTTCTCTGTTTTCTTTCTTCCTTATATATATATATATATATCCATAAAATAATAATAATAATAATGGCATGCAAGGACGCTGGAAGAGTGGGAGAGAAGGATTGGTTGTGCGATTACATGAAATAAAGGAATATATAAAAAAAAAAAACAATAAAAAAGAAAAAACACCCGACTCACACACCACACACACACACATTGCATTGCATTGCATTGCATTGTACGTACGTACGTACGTAGGTGCTTAATTGTGTGTATGTCTGCTTCACCTTTTTTTTTTTTTTTTTTTTTTCTCCTTCCCATCCCTCATTTCCCCGCAGTCCTTCTCCATTGGAAAACAAAAACAACAACAAATAAAAATAAATAAATAAATAAATAAATAAAAGTAAAACAACGACGCATGTACGCTGAAAATACACCGCACGTGGAGCTCACTTACTTATCCCCCCCCCCCCCCCC